CAGGAATTATACCTACCTACTTTAAAGGGGTGTAGTAAGGACTTTTTAACCTCTGTATATTGCCATATGAGAATAAATCAAATACTTTTTTTAACTACTATTTCGTTTGGGTTTAGGTTAAATGTAATTGTTTCAGTAATACTCTGTCAAGTACATAGATTCAAACTGATAAACCAGTTTATGATGCTGTTGAGGAATCCTATGCAAAACATTCCTATCTAAATTCACCCCTGCTTCAAGTGATTTAGAAAGGCATTACACTGAGATAAATTTGTCCACTCTGATCAAAGCACAAAAGTCTATTCTAAAGTAATCTGCAAGACTTAGTTTCCTCTACTGGTAGCTGTATAATTATTAAGTGTCAATGAGGAAAGACTGATGCAATACACTGCAGGATTCAGGAGCAAAATCCACTTCTTAGAGCTATAGGATTCATCTTGACCCAGAAAATTCTGCTTTCCATGCTACTGACTTTGGGCACTGATCGACGTGGACAGAACTTAATACACACATTAAGAGACTCACTTTAAGAATGTAGGAGCAGAATTTTGCACTTAAGTCATCTGCAAATTACTGCACCCTTCCCCGGAAAAATATATGGCTGAAAAAAGGAAATTTGGACCACAACTGATTATACTGTAAATCCTGTGAGCAGGGACCATCTGTTCTTTTGTGTGTATCAATACCCAGCACAAATGAGGACCCATGGGCCCTGTCTTAATACAAAAGATGGTACCTTGTCATACCCATTGGAACAGAGCTGGAAGACCTTTAATAGGCCTGTGTTTTTTGTAAAACAGGGTGCTGGAAAATGAAGAAGGGAGAAAAGGGTACCTAGTCTATCCCACCAGCAAGAACCATAGTTCAAGTCAAAAGGGGAGGAAGTCATCGCTAAAAGGCAATGGGAGGAGGATTGACTACATGCTTTACACAGAAGAGGGTCTCTATCTGGAATGGAAAGTGGTGAGTTTTACAATAAAATAAACTGTAACTCAGTGTGAAATGCTTGGATGGTATATCAGCTCCTATGGGTTTCCTTAGAGGAGTTAATTTGAATTCAAGTTTCTAAAGGGTCTTTAAAGGAAGTCCATCATTCAGACCCTTTTCCTGCCACTTTTTTCATAGATTTCATAGACATCAGGGCTGGAAGGGACCTCGGAAGATCATCGAGTCCAGCCCCCCGCCCAAAGGGCAGGAAGTCAGCTGGGGTCATAGGATCCCAGCAAGATAAGCATCCAATTTCATCTTGAAGGTGTTCAATGAAGGCGCTTGAACCACCTCCGGTGGCAGGCTGTTCTAGACCTTGGGGGCTCGGACAGTAAAGAAGTTCTTCCTTATGTCCAGCCTGAAACGATCTTGAAGTAGTTTGTGACCATTCGACCTCGTCATCCCTTGGGGCGCTCTGGTGAACAAACGTTCCCCCAGATGCTGGTGGTCACCCCTCATAAACTTGTAGGTGGCCATCAGATCACCCCTGAGCCTGCGCTTTTTCAGGCTAAAGAGCCCCAGGGCTCTCAGCCTGTCACCGTAGGGTCTGCTTCCCTGACCTCTGATCATGCGCGTGGCTCTTCTCTGGACTCTCTCAAGCTTCTCCACATCCTTTTTGAATTGTGGAGCCCAAAACTGGACACAGTACTCCAGCTGCGGCCTCACTAAGGCCGAGTACAGGGGGAGAATGACGTCCCGGGATTTGCTTGAGAGCAAAAATAAAAATGTTTGTGCACTCCCTGCTCCTCCATTGCAGAAATCTATTTTAATCCGTTTTTAAAAACACACTTATTCTCTAAAGCAATTGGCTCCAAAATGTGGTACCTCTACTTTTGCTATTTACACACTCTCCTTTTTCATCCCTAAAGCTATTTCTTTCGGATTTGGGGGTTCCCAGTTCCTGTCATCTTGCTTTAGTTCAATCTATTCTAGATGGAGCTTTACCTGACGATTGCCTAAAAACGAGGCGCTGAACGCCGCTGCTTAGCGGCGTTCCTGTCAGAGAGTGCATTTTGCACGGGTTCTGTGATTTGGATTGACATACCACTTGTTTCTGTATAAATATGAACTCGCCATTTTCTCAACCTCCTGAAACCCTCAATATTTTGGATCTTGGAAATGGCCCGTCTCCTTATATGGTACTGGAGCAGCCGCTAAAGTTAGAGAGAGAGTTTTGCTAAAAGCTCTTTCCATTCTGGTGTTAGAAAGGAAAAAGGAGAATTGGCAATTGGGAAATTCAAGTGCAACTGCTTTCTCCGCTTGGTTCAGTAGAGGCAGAGTTGCTTGCTGGCATTCAGAACTCACTCTCTATTCTCCAAATAGTTTTGAAAAATAACAGGGTTCAGAAGGATGCCAAGGTGGGCTAAGTGGAGAAACGTGAATGTAGTGGGTAGGGTGCGTGAGAAAGTCTGTTACTAGAAATGGATTTACCCTGATCTTGCAAGCTGCTCTGCAAGGGGGGATTCCTGCCCTGCAGGAAATCAATGGGGTCTGTGGGATGGAAGGGACAACCCAGCTTTTGGCATATTTTCCATACTCTATGGACCCCTGGATTTGCAGTTTAGTACATCTACACAAACAGCCATCTATCTTATTCTCATCCTTCTAGAACCACATGAAGGCTGTCACTCCAGCTCATATGTTATTCAGAGTTAATTCAGTGTCTGCAATTTTAGTCACTATATATGGATAACTATAGGAAGCTGAGTGGGGCTCACTCCGCTACATACTGTACAAATGTTGTCAGACACAGTCTATTATGTCCAAGTATTGTGTCCACATTTTGCAATAGTTTCTGGTTCCGCAGGGGTCCAATGTTGCCCCTGCTTTTCCTCCGGCTCCCCACATATCTGAAAAAGGACTTCTTATTGTCCTTGATGCTCAAAGCTAGCTGGAGTTCAGTTGCAGCCTTGGCTTTCCTGCTCTGCTCCCTACAGGACCGGACCAGTGCAGAATAATCCTCCTTGGAGGTGACTTCCATCCTCCACCCTTTGTAGGCCTTTCTTTTTAGCCTCAGGAGATCTGCTAGGTCCCTGGAAAGCCAGGGGGGCTGCTGTGCCCTCTTGCTGCCTTTCCTCCGAGATGGAATAGACTTAGTTTGTGCATTGAGGATCGCTCCCTTGAGGAGCAACCACTCCTCTTGAACTCCCCTCTCCCTGTGGTCACGGTCCCTTAGGGCCTCACTGACAAGCCTCCTGAGCTTGTCAAAGTCGGCTTTCCTGAAGTCAAGGACTTGCGTGTTGCTGACCGACTTGCCAGCTTTTCGGCGGATGGTGAAGGTGATCAGCTTGTGGTCGCTGTCACCCAGCTTCTCATCGATCACTAGGTCGCCGACTAGGTCATCCCCAGTAGCCAGTACCAGGTCGAGCAGCGCTTTGCCTCTCGTTGGCCCATAGACTTCTTGAGTCAGGTAGAGGTCGTCCACACACGAGAGGAAGCTCTGGTATTACCTGACTTCTTCTGGGTTCTGGGGCCTCTGGAGTGAGAAAGGAGTAACTTTTGTGAGTATAGGAGTGATGTATCAGCTTCTCAGCCATACAAGCAATATCAGATCATGTTTGATCAGACTTCTGTGGACATAAGCTGAGGATCAGAAATGCATAAAACCTCAAAAACAGGCTCAGCTGAAAGGAGTTTGATGCCCAATTCCATATTTCACATAGTACTAGTGAGTGTGTGATCTAATATCTTTTAATATATTTGTACAGTAACTAGCAGTTGGGTCCCTGTCTTGGTTGGGGACTCCAGGTAATCAGCTTGTTACTAACTGCTGTAATACAGGTCATGTGCTGTATTATCTATCCTTAAATTTATCAGAAATAATTATTGTGGGTCAGAAGCTTTTCATCCTTACATCTACTAGCATTCTTATCTTTTATGTGATGGTCTCTGAACCTTTCTTAAAACTTTGTAGTGTATCCTTATTGAATTAACAGATGATGATGACAAAAAAAATCTTTTCATACAACCTTCATCTAGAACAGGGCTTCCCAAATTTTTATGCTGTGGCTGCGGCCCGGCAAACCATGGCCCAGCAGTCACAGCTGACCATGGCCAGAATTTCCAGCCAGCAGACAGTTAAGGATACCCCCACCCCTTGTATGGGAGGATGGTCCAAACCCTGTGCTACCACAGGCCCTGTGAAAGGAGCCGTGGCCTCTCCACCCAGCTCTGGGGGGCTGCAGTTTGCCAGTCTACAGCCACTTCCAGTCTGGCAGCTGACTGTGCTGTGGACCACCAGGCAAACCATGGCCCGGGGATTGAGAACCCCTGATCTAGAAGATCCTTAAAAGGGTTTTAAACTATTCTAAATAGACCTTCACCATAATCCTATATTATAGACAGAGTTGGTAACCCTGTCCATGCATAACATTGCCTGACACTGCTCACTGTAGGACCACCAAATGAGGCAAGGTCCTGTGTAAAAGGAAGTCTGTGAAAATGTAAGGGCTCTATGTATGCATGTGCATGGGGAGGGCAAATTAATTGTGCCCAGGCATCCTTCATTCTGACATTTTCTAATTTTTGAATGCTTAACTTTGTAACCTTAGGGCTTTTTAATGTGTGTGTGTATAGTTATATAATAGGTGATACAGTTAGAACAAGGGTAGGGAAAATTACTTTTAAGTATTAAGAAGTATCTATACAACTATCTCTATATCTGTATTAAGAAATATCTGTACAACTGTTTCTGTGAGAAGCTCCACAGGAAATGGAACAAAGGAGTGGTGTTATGTAAAGGATATTTAATTTTCTGCACCCAAAGAAACCTATTTAAGATTGTCTTCTAAGCAGAGAGGTTAGTTTGGTAGCTAAATTCTCTGAAGTACCATGTGCACTGGACATGCTGCATCCTGGAACTGAACAGAAGTTTCCTTGGCCTTGTTCATCTGACTGATGTAGACTGGGATATAGGGAGGTTGAGGAGCTGGACCCAAAGGAATAAGTAGGTGCTTGACTAGAAGGAGAACTGGGACTAGAGCAGACTAAAGGGGTCTGTAAAAAGACAACATTCCCTTCAGTACCTAGGTTGCAACCAGAATGCCTGAATCTTCATATTCTTCTCCTGCCAACAAATATCTATGAAACCAATTGGCAAAATGAGTGCCTTACCTCCCTCTGATAGTTCACAACCTGACACCACCTTCTTTATTAACTTGAGTGGTGGAGGTTCCAACATTTCTAAACTTGCTCATAGCAATATGGTGGCACATGATGAAATGTGGATTTCTCTCTATTTTTTTCTTTTTATTTGTTTTCCCCTAAGGATAAAGGAAATTACATTAGATTTAGGGAATGCCAAAATTAAGCTTGCATGTATAAGCTTAACTTGTCTGCCTTATGCATATTCATTATGGTATGTTCTAACAGCATGATTGCATAGTGTTTCTACCCCACGGGACAGGATGGGCAGCAGTGAACAAATTAGAGTTTTGTAGTTAGTGAGACTTTTGAATGTTGGACTCCTGCCACATTTATTGCAGAAGTTGAAAGGTGTATAATGTTTGAACTGCAAGAAGAGAAACAAGGGTCTTGTTAATTTAGACAGGTGAATGCTATTCTGAAGAACACGTTTTTTAGCTTGTTGCTACCATGGGGTTTCTGAGATGCTGGGCAAGCCATTTAAAATGTCTTCAAAGGTAATCAATAATGTTTTTTCTCATTTCCTGGATGCCTGACTTGACTTGACAATGGGGTCTGATTTGCAGAACTTTTGGCCACTCATAACTACACTTGAAGTGAATGAATGCTCTGCTTTGAACAAGCACTGATATAAAATGATCTCTGAAAAATCATAGATTTCTCAAATTGAGCAACTAAAATTAATAAACACTTTAATTATTTTATCTCTGTTATAATTTCCTTGTTTGTAATGCTAAACTGCCTTGAGCCTTTTCTGAGGAGGGCAACATAAAAATCTAATAAATAAAAAATGTTTCTGTTCCTCAGTTACCAATCAATTAACTGGGAGTAATATTAATTATAGGGGTGTTGTGGAGTTACAGATGGTTCAGAAAATAAACCCCCAAGAAACACTTCCATGCTAGAGATTGCCCACCATAAAAAGCCCATAAGTGATGATTTTTGTATGCAGATCAGGCATTGGAACGATGTGCTGAAATAAGGCCTGAGGCCATTCACTGAACAGCAAGAATAAAACGAAATATAGAACAGCTGCACACTCAGTGAGAATTATACATCCTGTCCACTGAACGAGGCAGAGGTCCTTTGGGAGGAAAATAGCGTGCTATTGTGTCACTAGTCTATCATAATGCGTATGCACAAAGTTGCCAAATTGACGTTACATAGGGAACTTTCATTCTGGCATTGCCTACCTTCTGAGTGCTTACTTTACAATTTTAATGTTCCTCAAATGTAGCTTTTCTGGGTGATTATTAGATGCACTCTTTATACTTACCACTTCCTAGGGAATGACAGAAAAGCTGTCTCTGGGTTCATTAGAACAGCAGCTGTTTAACAGCTCTCAGCAACAAGACACTATGTTAGGAGAGTAAGCTAAGAGAAATATATGTAGACAGAATGTTATCCATACTGAAGCTTTACCAGGATACAGGTCGGAAGTTTCAAATGAACCTCGGAGCTGGATGCCTAAATCCTTTAGTTTATTTTAAATATTCTAGCCACTGCGGTCAGGACCCTTCCCCAATAGATTCAAGCCTGTTCATTACTGGTATAGCATCTGTGCATTACAGTGGAGAGATCCCAGCACTGGCACTGATCCCTTGTGTGCGCCAATTACCCTGCAGAGGTACTCTGGCTGGCTCCCCACTAGCACTATGGAGTCCCTATCCATAAAACCAGGGAGATGCATTTTAAACTTTAGAAAGTCAGCTGAGAGGAGACAGTAAATCCTGGCTTGATGCATGAGAGAATACACCACACTGATTTTGGAACTATCCCCTTTTTCTCTACAGGAAGTGGAAGAGTTCAGCTTTATTACCCAGTTAGCAGGTTTGACAGACCATCTGCCTGTTGCCATGCGTCTGGTGGTATCTACGGGGGAAGATGATCCTTAAAACTGACCAGCTTAGAAGATCAGAAGCAGAAAGTTTCAGCTTGTGACATATAGAAGAAGATGGGAAAGAATTTTGCTGGTGCCACATTAAGAAAAATTACCGGACCTGACCCACACTATCCCCAACTCCATCTCCTTTCAAGTTCCTCCCCAAAATGTACCAACATTTGGGGACATAAAGAGGGAAGAAATATGTGGGTTTGGACCAGTAACAAACCACTATCACAAGTTGCTCAGGCAACAGGGCAGGCCTTTATCTCAATACTTTCACTGTGGACCGAAAGGAACCAAGATGGAAGTCCCAATTCCTTTTGAACCAGTGCCATTCTTACTAAAATACATTTTTATACTAATATATAGCACAAATTAGTTTGTAATTGGTCTGTGAGTTAGTGCTGCCCAATGGTTTTTGCATAATTTCTTTGTATAACTAAGAAACTAAGGCTTTTTTCTTTTCTTTTCTTTTTTTAGCCTATTAATGTTGTAGTAGCATGCCTGCATCAGTAGCATGCGCTCGCATTGCATGCCACTTTGAGACAAAATAGTCATTAAGATACCATGGGGGAAAATAAAAATAGAAATGGGAATTCAAAGTCAGAAACTAGCCAAAGAAAAGTATTCTGGGACTGGCTAGCCATTTTTCAATTAGCTTGGTGGGTTTTAAAACTAAAATCTATGTTCAGTTTGCAGATCAAGATTTTTCTTTCAGAGCCCTCGGTTTAAGGATGAGACTGAAAATTGAGAAATTAAACTCTCAAAATTCACTTTTACTGTTATTTATCTACCTTTATTTTCCTTTCCCACATCTAAAGCCGTTCCATTTCCAGTACAAGGAAACAGAGCATGTTATGATAATGTAAATAGATTCATGTGATACTGCTGGTAACACTGGAGCCAATGGTCTGCCTTTGCTGGAAAGAGTTAAGAAATGGCTTGTAAAATGCATGCTAGATATTGGGTTAAACATAAACAGAGAAAGCGATGTTTTCAGGAAACGGAGTGGAGTGAGAGAGATAAAGACAGTGTAAGATATAGTAGTTCCTTTGAAAATCAATTTCGAGAGAAACAGAAAATGGTAGTTGGCAGCAGAATAATGAGAATGGAACTGTGAATCCCAATCTAAAAGACCTCTCTTCTGAACTGAAGGTAATTTTTCATGTGTTAGAGGTGACCCCGCATTGTTTATACACTAATGGACTTCATAGGAGTCTTGACCATTTGATTTTTTTCCCCACCATGTAGATGCATCAGGCTTCTCTTAGCATTGATTCTCTTTACCTTTCTGTCCCCAAGACCTTCTCGCCTACCCTATCCCTTCTTACCTCTCTGACCCTGAATTATTAAATGAAAAATTAGGGGTGAGATTATTAACTGGGGCTTCCCCCCCCCCCCCCCCTTGTTCATTTAAGGATTTAAAATGAGACAAGAGCAAGGGCACACATGGCAGCAGAGGGGGACACTGCTCTGAAGAAAAGTGATTTGTTCCATCAAAACTGGTGGGAGATACTGCTGGGCCCACAACATCAGCTATATATCCTTTACTTATTAATCCAACTCAGTACTTATCTTTTCCTTCAGTCTAACCCTATGTTATGTTATGTTTCTTTTTTTAAAGAAAACAGAAGACTAGGTAAATTTAAACTTTAGCTATACACACACACTTGTTTCTGTTTAAATATTTCAGTTAAACTACCACAGACTCCTGTGTGGATGCTTATTCTGGTTGAGCATAAACCTGTTGCGAATAGGCTGAAACAAAGCCAAAATAGCAACACGGGTTTAAATAGCAACTAAGGTCATGTGTAGACAAAATGAGGAGCGCGTGTACACGACACTTTAAAGTGGGCTAAATGTTTTTGCATCACTTTAATGGTGTCAGTGTTTTCATGCCTCAGCTGCGTATTGCGCATTAATTCCAGCCGCTGTAGGAAATTCAGTGGTGTAATGCGCCTTAAATGGCTTGGGGTGCAACAAACTAAAACTCCTCTGAAGAGTTTTAGTTTGCTGCCTCTACAGCTGAGGAGTGAAGCACCAGGCTTCATGCAGCTCCATGGCTCTGCAGGAAGCCCTGCAGGCAGCCTGATAGTAGCCTGGGAAGACAAGCTCCACCCAAGAAAAGTGGTGAGCCTGATCCTTCCCCCTCCTCTCCCCTCCCCTCCCCCGCCTTCCCAGACCCTGCCTGCCTGCCTGAGCTACTCAGGGGCCCGGTGCTTCCCTCTGTGGCTGCAGTGCCCCCTGGGACCGCCCAAGCTGGGTGCTGCCTGGCGGGGGGAAGGAGGCCATCGCCAAGGGAAGCACCAGCCCCCCGCAGCCCAGGGACCGCTCCACCCGCCAGTAGATCACTTTCCTCTCCCGACCTCCGGAGAGGCAGGCAAGTTAGGTGTGTGCATGACACGGGGGTTTAATTGGCTCTAAATTGGAGCAATTTTTTTAAAAACCCACCACTTCAATTATGGGCCCTCATTTCATCTACACACGCTGTAGAGTCTGTGCAACCTCCTAGTCTAGCTAATTGGATTTTTGGTTTTTAAATCAACATTTTGGTTAAACCAGTATCACCCTGCATGTAGAGGAGGCCATAGTGATCATGAAAGTAAAGGACTGAGAGGTTTGGCTAGACCTCAGCAGAGCTATGCAAGTTCCCAGCTCTGCCAGTGCAACTCAACCTTGACTTGTCATTTCTCCCATTTTCCTGTCTTCACCTCCTTTGAACAGACTGCCTCTTATAACTAAATTGTGCCAAACTGCATGGTGGTTGGCAAAGTGCACCAAATAGAGACTAGAATGAAACCAGACTGGTTCCCCTTTGGGACAGAAGAGGGGCTAAAGACTGAAGCCTACAGAGTTGGAAGTTTTTGTGTGCTATCTGACTTCCCCGCCTGTTCTTCTCTGGGCAGATTTCTTTACATACTCATGAGCACATATGGTTTCTTAGCTCTCCCTTGAACTGAGAGAGACTTGTACCTGAAACAGTGCTTTTAATCCTATTTTCTATCTTGCTTGTATTTTATTAACCTTTTTAGAAACAGTATCAGTAGCAATTTGTGCACTCTCCAGCAGCTCTGCTACCATATTGCTATCAATAGTAAAATTAAATCTTACAGTATTTTTAATAGCTTTCCTAATAATGTAAATTAGTTTGATATCAAATTCACTAAATATCAGTTAGAGTAGCTAAATTTGACACTGTGTGGGATATAATCATAAAAATTACTGCCAAACAAGGTTACATTTATTTACAGTAAAACTAATGTAGTCTAAATTATTTTCAGTTCAGTTCTGTGAAATCCATGCTGACTAAAACACCAGGCACTTTCATCAATCTTTTGAGATGTGTTGAGAAATATTTTTTCAATCTTGAAGTAAACGGTTTTAGATTTTGATGTTAGTTTTTCAGTGATCTGTTTTTAATGGTTGAAAAATAGTTGTAAAACAGTCTCTATTTTAAAGAAAATACTAACCAATGTAGTTAGTTCTTACTAATTTACTGTCTTATGGATCTAACTTTGCAAGAGGATGATGCTGAGAGGTACAGCATTGTGATGCCATTGTGTATAAATGCTCCTTGCTTTATTGCATCAACCCTGTGCCTTCTGACGCCTTGATCTGGTTGAGGGATTTAGAGTACCTGTAGTGGGAAATGGCAGAACATATGCTTTCCACTCCAGAAAACTGTCAGGTAAAGAAACCAAATTCTCTGTCATTACTCTTATTCTGTGTGATGGTTCTGAGAGAATAATTCAGACAATGATACTGGCAGGATATTTGGTGTTTGCCTTAGAACTCATGACGTGCTGAATATTTTTTTCAGTGATTCCATAAAATTAATCCACAGGAAATTAAACCACAAGCAACTCCTCAGAGGTCAATCCAAGCCTGATTTAAGGGCAGTGTGACCAAGCCTAACAGCAGTATGTGATCTATAAAGGGTTTGAGTTAAATTTACACAACAGCTACTCTCTCCACTCCGCATAGGAATTTCAGCTGTCTCCAAAGAGTGGGTGGGATCATACTCTTTGGTCATCATACTCCTTTTAATTAAATAATTAGTATCACTGAACCTCACTATTATTTCTTGATGGCATGAATGTAGATATTGTAGGTAAGTGTCACCTAACAGCTTTAAAAAAAGGTAACACACACACATACCTATTTATGATCCAATGACGAATTGTGCTACAACATGTCTCAAGCTCTAAGGAGTGAACCTGACTATATATCATAGAAGAAACTCAATGACAATGCTCCATAGTATAATGCTATATTTATGATTGGTCAGTGTCCTCTCATGTTATGGCTGTGGTACAGATCCAGGGTAAAGAACCAAGAAAAATTGGCTACTCAGGAAAGGGTTAATTTTACTCATTATTAACTTCATAGGAAATTGCAGGAAGCTGCATCCTGCTGGATTGAGCCCTACAACTGAGGGTACTTTGAGCTGGTCTCTTTGAAGGAGATTACCAATATCCTCTCGTGCAGGTTACTGCAATATCTTGCCTCAGATGCTTTCAGTCAGTTGTATTACACCCCAGCCCTACCTGTTGGATAAAGCATGAAGATTTATTAGGGGACCCACAATTTGTCCCCTTGGAAAATTTTGTTGGTTGGTGTGTTTTTAAATGGCATTCATTCAGTGATACAGATTAAACAGACCTGATTGTGTACAGTTTAGTATCAGAACTGCTTTTGAGCCACTTTGTTGGCCCAAGTACAGCTTGTCAGATTTAATACATATCGTCAGCTCTGAAAATGAAATGTTTTTCCCTGCCTTTGGGTCAAGAGGGATAAGAAGAGGAATGCATAGTAATCAAGTGTATAGAAAAACTCCTGCCTTGGTCATCCATGGTCACAGTGTTACTGAATATTTCATTTGTCCATGCCATCTTGTTTTAAATATGATTATTAATCTTGATGCTTTTAAATATTGTATTATTGCTAAGGTTTAGAAATCCTATATAAAATAACCTTTTTTTATTTCAATGATTTTTCGGTATTGTATCCTTCTGGGAATCTAATGTTTTTATATGGTAAGCACACACCTTCTGACATTTTGTTATAAATGTATTTAAAAAAAAAACAGCAAAAAACAAAAAAACAAACAAGTTCATTGGTTTCTCTGCCTGTATGAAAACCACAAACTTATACCTGATAAAAACAAGATATTTTGAAAAAGATTGCTTTTTCTTTTCCTTATTGGTGCTGAAAGGAATTATTGGATGATGCAAATGAAATAATAAAACTTCAAGGTTCAAATGTTTCCTTGCAGTCTACTTATTACTTTGGTTACAATATATTGGAGTCTAAAAATAAATATTGAAAAAAGTCGGATGCCACTTATAGAAATTTGAATCCTTCATTGAGTTCTTCCCTTTAATCATTGCTCCCCCCCCCCACCCACAATACTATTATTGCTGTTTATTTTACAAGAGTATCAAGGCACCCAAAGTAAAATCTCACTGTTTCAGGAATTGTACAAACTAAGTATTACTTGCAAATCCAGGGAACTTTATTCATCTGGTATATTTGGGACTGGTGAAGACTCCCCTGGAGTATTGTGTTCAGTTTTGAGCCCCACATTTCAAGAAAGATGTGGACAAATTGGAAGGAATCCAGTGGAGTATGATAAAAATGACAAGATACTGGGAAAGAATGCCTGAAAGCACTAGGATTTAGTCTGGAGAGAAGACTTATGATTTGTCAGTATCCTGTCATGTCATGGCTGTGGTACAGACCCGGTGTAAAGAACCAAGAAAAATTGGCTACTCAGGAAAGGGTTAATTTTACTCATTATTAACTTCATAGGAATTGCAGGAAGCTGCATCCAGCTGGATTGAGCCCTACAACTGAGGGTTTGGGGCTAATCTAAATAAAGCAAGCATGTGAAAAATAAGCATCAGCACTGTTTTATCCTTCTTTCATAGGCATATTGATCTGTACCTCTCTCAGATGTTCCCCCTTCCCCATTTCCCTCTTCTCATATTAGGAAGACAAGTGACTTATAGTCATAGAGGAAATCTATGGCAGTCCAAACCCCAGATCTCAAGTCCATCTCCAATGCTTTAAGCATTACACTATCCTTCTGCTTTCTCTCAAATGCTAATTGCAACAGAAAACTTCACAAATCAAGAGTTCCTTGTTATACAGTTGTGAATCTTGCTGCATGAATGACTTTAGTCCAATCCCTAAACTAGTTAGTATGGATTCAAAACACCTTCTATGCTTCCCTAGTCAATTCAATTAAATTGATCAAAAAACAGATACAGTCTTAAGGGTTCAATATTTATCAATTCCATTCTCTTTATAGAATACATGCCAAGGAAAAAGAATGCAGTATAGTGTTCCAGACCCTTTTCTGACCATTCCCAAAAGCTCCACTATGAAGCCATAGGGATTCCACTGGAAGAATCTTTGTTTTTGTGGCAATCATAGAAAAGAAAGTAAATAAAATTCAAACTAATAAGACTGAGCACAGTGCATGCTTATCTTTTAATCAGCTCAGAAAGGAACCATTTCATCTCATGAAATAAAGAGGGTTTTCCAGACTGGCCTCTGTAGCCTCCCCTTCTACTATCCTGTTGATCTTGTCTGTATCCTGATGTCAGTGTTGCATCTTAATTTAAAGCAGGTAATTTAACCTTTGTTGTGGTATAGGGGATCTAGCCCACTCCTTGAACTCCATCTTGGCCTTCACCTCTCCACTTCCAACAGAACTGCTCTCCTTACAAGCGGTGGTGTTAGCCATCAAAGGTCCTCCTTCCCCATTTCCTTCTCCTCACATGTTCTTCTTTGCATCACTACAGCACCTCAATCAGAAGTGATTTGAGGCC